ATGTACAACATTATGACTCTAGTTAATAATAATGTATTGCATATTTGAAAGCTGCTAATATAGTAAATCTTAAAAGTCTATCATAAGAAAAAATATTTGTAACCATTTACAGTGATAGCTGTTAACTAGACTGATTGTGGTGATCATTTTGCAGCATATACAAATATCAAATCATTATGTTATACACCTGAAACTAAGGTAATGTTAGACAGTCATCCTTAGGTATCTGCAGGGGACTGGTCCAGGACACCCACAGACACCAAAATTCAGGGATGCTCAAGTCCCTTATATATAAAATGGTATATAGTACAGTTGCTCCTCTATGTCCACTGTCCACACCCCCAGATTCAACCAACCACAGACTGAACTCCAAGTCTGATTGAATCTGTGGGTGGGAAGCCTGTGGATATGGAGCAGTGACTGTCTTCAATTATACAAGTTTTTAAAAGTTTATTCAGCTATGCTAATAAGAGTAACAAATAACAAGAATAGATGAAACTAAGTGTGAAAGGAAGAAGCTAGTGTGACTCATTAAAGTTTAGCATTTTTTGAAAAAAGGAAGGGGTGGAAATGTCAAGTACACAAGAGTCCATAAATCTGTAAGACATTACATTTGTAGGAGACACAGAGGTATCCTATTTGCCCCCTGTCCGTATCACACAGGGAAAAAAAAAAAGTAAAAACTATGCTGTCCATCAGGTCACTGGTTGTCTGCTGCTGTGGCAATACTTGCTCCTGTGTCTCTCCAACACAACAAGGGTAGAATTAGACACCAAGCACCTTCTGTATTTTGGACTCCCCTGCTCTTGAATCATGTACCTCAGGATTCAGGTGTAGTGAGTCTTCTGCCTTGCTTCCACCCTGTCCAAAGTTTGGAAACCTACCCCATCTCTCTCTCCTAATTTCTCACTATGTATTTTAAACTGATTTTAAAATTACGGTATTCAACTATCTAAAGTTCTCTGAGATTTTTTGTTCTAAGACCTCTGGGAAAGTGCCTCAAAGTGTATTTGGAGGCCACTACTGTGTCAAGGTAATTTCCTACCCAACTCTAGTTATGTTGGGATCAAAAACAAATTTCTGTTTATTTAGAGTAAGCCAGCATGCAAAATACAAGGAAAATATTCAACACACTTGCTTAATAAACAAAAATTACAAATAGTGTATGCAGTATAAAGCCCAGATGGCAAATAAGTTTCTTTTAGCAATGGTTTGATTGTAGTTGCCTGAAATCATTTGGTTGAGAAAGACTGAAACTGGCTAAGAAAGATAAATAGACAGTCCAAGATCTGTGTAGGCCAAAGGTCACGAACAGATAGCAAGCTCTATCGTGAGAAATGTTAAGAGAAAAATCCCTGGACCTCTAGGGAAAGGAAAAGTCCCTAAAGGTAACTACGAGATGGGCAAGTTAATGTGTAGGTTTAACCACTGACATCAGTAAATGAGATAAACATTTATGGTCAAATAATTTAATTCACTGTCACACTGTAGAAATATTTACAAATAAAAATTCTCGAAGTTCAGCATATACTAATAGTAAGGTTCACTTTTAGACATTAAAGCTGCATGTTTGACTCACTTTTATATACACGCTGGAGAAGATATTTATTATTGATGAAAATGTGCTTAAAGGACTAAAACAGGAGCCAGCAAACTTTTTCTGTAAAGGACTCGATAGGAAATATTGCAGGTTTTGCAGGTCATATGGCCTCTGTGGCAGTTGCCCCTACTCAGCTCTGTCATTGTAGCACAAAGCAGTCATAGACAATACCCAACAAATGGGTGTGACTGTGTCACAATAAAAATTTATTCACAAAACAAAGGGTGAACTAGAATTGGCCCACATGCCAGTTTGTTGACCCCTGTAGCAGAAGGTGCTTCAATTTTGTAGCTCTTGGTATCATGAGTAATCATTTTGAGTGGCTTGGTTAACCTGAAAGTTTCCTACAACACTACAATTATGCTAACCAATCACAGCTATGTAAAGTATATGTTATGTTGAATTCGGACTACATAAAACAGCTATTCTTCAGCTGACTGAATTGCTTTGCCACACCAACAATGAACTCTGGACTTTGGGGATTAGAGGCCCATGTTACCATCTGAATGGGGCTGCTCTGCTTGATACGATCTGAATGATTAAATAAGAAGTGTTAACCGTATCTTCAATCAGTAGGGCCCTCTCTTTTGTTCAAAACTCATTTGCTCTCTTCTCAGGTATTCCTTACACTTGTTGGACAATTAAATTTTTTTTTTTTTTTTTTTTTTTTTTTGCGGTACGCGGGCCTCTCACTGCTGTGGCCTCCCCCGTTGCGGAGCACAGGCTCCGGACGCGCAGGCTCTGTGGCCATGGCTCACGGGCCCAGCCACTCCGCGGCATGTGGGATCTTCCCAGACCAGGGCACGAACCCGTGTGCCCTGCATTGGCAGGAGGACTCTCAACCACTGCGCCACCAGGGAAGCCCTGGACAATTAAATTTTGATTTGCTTTTCTTTTAATGGGTAGAAATTTACAAATTCAAGTTTTTAATATTTCAAAAAATCTTTCTTCAATGAGATCTTTTATTATTATTTTTGTAACAACTGTTCTGGTTTCTACTGTGAATAAATTTAAAATTCCTATATCTCCTTTCTCTTTATGTGATGGATAGAAATTTGGTTCTGATACCTAGGTTTGAATTCCAGGCCTACCACACACCGTGTGACCTTGAGAAAATTAACTCCTCTGTGTCTTAGTTTCCTCATCTGTAAAATGAAGATACTGGCACCTCCATCATGGAATGCCTTTGAGTAGTAAACAAGTTAGTGCATATAAAGTCATTTCCACAGTAAATGAAAGAGAGCAACCACTCAAATGTTAATTAAGACCTTGCCTATCAAACATTTAAAGAAGAATTAATACCTATCCTTCTGAAACTATTCCAAAAAATTGCAAAGGAAGAAATATTCTCAAACTCATGCTATGAGGCCACCATCACCCCAATACCAAAATCAGACAAAGACACTACAAAAAAAGAAAATTACAGGTCAATATCGCTGATGAACATAGATGCAAAAATCCTGAACAAAATACTAGCAAACTGAATCCAACAGCACATTAAAAGGATAATACACCATGACCAAGTGGGATTTATCCCAGGCATGCAAGGATTTTTCAATATCCACAAATCAATCAGTGTGATACACCACATTAACAAATTGAAGAATAAAAACCATATGATCATCTCAACAGATGCAGAAAAAGCTTTTGACAAAATTCAACACCCATTTATGAGAAAAAGTCTCCAGAAAGTGGGCATAGAGGGAAGCTACCACAACATAATAAAAGCCATATTCATCAACAATACAGTTAACAACATACTCAATGGTGAAAAGATGAAAGCATTTCCTCTAAGTTCAGGAACAAGACAAAGAGGTCCACTCTCACCACTTTTATTCAACATAGTTTTGGCAGTCCTAGCCATGGCAATCAGAGAAGAAAAAGAAATAAGAGGAATCTAAAACTGTCACTGTTTCCAGATGACATGATACTATACACAGAAAATCCTAAACATGCTACCAGAAAACTACTAGAGCTCATCCAGAAAATTGGTAAAGTTGAAGGATACAGAATTAATACATAGAAATCTCTTGCATTTGTATACACTAACAAGGAAAGATCAGAAAGAGAAATTAAGAAAACAACCCCATTTACCATGGCATCAAAAGAATAAAATACCTAGAAATAAACGTACCTAAGGAGGCAAAAGACCTGTACTCTGAACACTATAAGATACTGATGAAAGAACTTGAAGATGACACAAACAGATGGAAACATATACCATGTTCTTTGGTTCGAAAAATCAATATTGTCAAAATGACTAAACTACTCAAGGCAATCTACAGATTCAGTGCAATCCCTATTAAATTACAATGACATTTTCCACAGAACTAGAACAAAAACTCTTAAATTTGCATGGAAACACAAAAGACCCTGAATACCCAAACCAATCCTGAGGGGGGAAAAAAAAGGACCTGGAGGAATCAGGCTCCCTGACTTCAGACTGTACTACAAAGTTACAGTCATCAAAACAGTATGGTACTGGCACAAAAACAGAAATACAGATCAATGGAACAGGATAGAAAGCCCAGAAATAACACCACACAACTATGGTCAATTAATCTACAACAAAGGATGCAAGAATATACAATGGAGAAAAGACAGTCTCTTCAATAAGTGGTGCTGGGAAAACAGGACAGGTACATGTAAAAGAATGAAACTAGAATATTCTCTAACACCATACACAAAAATAAAATCAAAATGGATTAAAGACCTAAATGTAAGACTAGATACTATAAAACTCTTAGAGAAAAACATAGGCAGATCACTCTTTGACGTAAATCACAGCAATGTCTTTTCTGAACTGTCTCCTAGAGTAATAAAAATAAAAACAAAAATAAACAAATGGGACCTAATTAAACTTAAAAGATTTGCACAGCAAAGGAAACCATAAACAAAACAAGAAGACAACCGACAGAACAGAAAAAAATATTTGCAAACAAAGTGATCGACAAGGGATTAATTTCCAAAATATACAAACAGCTCAATATCACATAAAAAACAAACAACCCAATCAAAAAATGGGCAGAAGATCTAAATAGACATTTCTCCAAAAAAGACATACAGATGGCCAAAAAGCACGTGAAAAGATGCTCAACATCACTAATGATTAGAGAAATACAAATCAAAACCACAATGATGTGTCATCTCACACTGGTCAGAATGGCCATCAACTAAATGTCTACAAAAAATAATTGCTGGAGAGAGTATGGAGAAAAGGGAACACTCCTGCACTGCTGGTGGGAATGTAAATTGGTACAACCATTATGGAGAATAGTATGGAGGTTTCTTAAAAAATTAAAAATAGAACTACCATAAAATCCAGTAATCCCACTCCTGGACATATATCCAGAGAAAAGTCTAATTCAAAAAGATATATGCACCCCTGTGTTCACTGCAGCACTATTTACAATACTCAAGACAAGGAAGCAAACTAAATATCCATCAACAGAAGAATGGATAAAGAAAACATTGTACATATATACAAAGGAGTATTAGCCATAAAAAGAATGAAATAATGCCATTTGCAGCAACATGGTTGAACCTAGAGATTATTTTACTAAGTGAAGTAAGTCAGACAGAGAAAGATAAATATCATATGATATCCCTTATATGTGGAATCTAAAAAAATGATACAAATGAACTTATTTACAAAACAGAAACAGACTCACAGACTTCAAAAACAAACTTATAGTTACCAAAGGGGAATGGTGGGGGAGGAATAAATTAGCAGTTTGGGATTAACATATACATACTACTATATATAAAATCAATAATCAACAAGGACCTACTGTATAGCACAGGGCACTACAGTCAATATTCTGTAATAACCTATATGGGAAAAGAATCTGAAAAAGAATGTATACATGCATATGTATGACTGAATCACTTTGCTATACACCTGAAACTAACACAACATTGTAAATCAACTATGCTCTAATATAAAAAATTAAATTAAAAAAATTAATAAAATGTGATATTGACACACACATTAAAAAAGGCCTTGTAACTCTGTTAGATCATAGCATCTGTGAGTTGGTTGTCTAGTAATTCATATTTCTCCTCTGTCAAAATTAGTGGCCCAGGAAAAATTACTCAAATTAATCAACTTATGGAAAGAGGAAAATTTTTATTATTACTACATTGCAGTATTGTATCCTGGATTTGAATTTACCCTACTTACAGGCTAATAAGTTAGCCTAAACTGTTCAGGGATGTTGGCAGAAGGCACATGATACTCCTAGGACAGAGACAAAAGACTTTGTTACAGTTCAGTAAAAAAGCATGAGTATTAGCCTATTGGCTGTCAGTTCCCCTTGACCTCAAATCTCACAGGGGAGATGTAACAAGGTCAAATGGACTGTGCACATAGTAAGTTTATATCATAGCTGAGGAAGACTGAATATCAGGAATCTACCACTTTGAAAGCAAGCAGTAAGCAAGGCCTCTTTTTGTTTCTTTCAGTTGTATGCCAGGCTGAGCAGGGTATATATAATAGGTTAGTTTTTCTTTATTCTTTCTGGCTATATGATAAAAAGTTTGGTAAACGTGGGTAAAAGACACTAAAGTGATTTCTTCTGGGAAGACTTCTCAGAGCGCTTAATGTGCTATAAAACATCCAAGAGGAAAATTTACTGTCCAGTGTTTCCCAAAGTTTTATGACCATGGTTTCTTTTTACTTAATACTTATAAATGCCAAGTACAGTTTTTAAAAGTACTCTTGGTTACTGCTATTTTGCTTGCCTCTCACAATTTATTTTGTCTTTTTTTTAAAAAAGAACACTGTAATATACTTAATCTATGCATGAATATAAAGTGCTTAGGCAGAAAGCAGTATATATAAAGTGCTCGATATTTGAAATTGTTGTTTTCCCTATTCCGTGGCTTTCACTTACATCCTAACTTTAATCATCTGATCATGGTAGTAACTGCATTGTTTTATTAACGTTTTGTACATGACACATTCCTGGACCACACAGGTACCATTTTTAACTGAATGCTAAATATTCCTTTAATTCTCTGCTGTAAATTTCTGAAATTCTTCTCTTACTCTTACATGTGAGATAGCTTACTAATGATTTAATCTTCCTTTATATTTAATATGTCCTCATTCTGTGACAAATTCTATTCATCATTGTACAATATTTAGATTAAGCTATCATGACATTCAGGAGACATCAATCAGTTAACGCTATGGCAATTTTGCTCATAAAAAGAAGTTAAGGAGTGTTATTAGCTGTGGCAGATACAGTGGTAGCCCCAAATATTTTGTCCAGTCCCCTGCATCTGTCAGACCCCTACAATTAGGAGCAGTTATGCAATAAATGCTGGCTGATTGTCCGTGGATGGCAGCGCCACAGAATACTTCCTCAGAAGCATTGCAGAGCATTCAGGTTCTTATCAGCTGCTGCTACACCTGACCACGTGCAGACGAGATGGTGGGCTCCCATCAGCTTGACTTCCTGGGTGACCGTGTGGAGCACAGCCCCACCAGCTCTCAAGTGTGAGGCATGTGTTATGAGAAAGAAATCAACTGTCGTTGTGTTAAGCCATGCAGATTTTGTTAAGTTACATTATCATGAAAAGAAAAAGTTTTGAATAATAAAAGAACCCCCAAAGGTAGAAGGTTTTAAAGTTGTCTTTGAAGTAAGCAACAGCCTATATACTACCTGTGTTAATAAAATTGGAAATCTTGAAGTTTCTTATATTTGAGAATTAAGATATTCTGTAGTAATGTTTACTAAATGGTGTCCCTTAGAACACTAATTCTAGGATATAATAATAGATGCTATATGGGAAAAACTGGTCCTCTTGTAAAATATTTGGGAAATATTGCAAACTAAATAGCCCTCTTGGGGAGTCAATAAATATAAAAGCATGATATATGTTCCAAGACACAAATATTCCTTTAATCCAATGTTTTCTAAATGTAAGCATGGAATATGGTTTTTTCCATTAAATATTTAGGGTAGTAACACAGAATTCTAATTTGGGAAAGCCAACCTAGAGAAATGTTTAGTACTTCTTTCCAATAGGGCTGCTAAGTGATAGAAGGATTATGCATATTTCATATATTTCAAGAGCTCCAGATGAATGGGTACAATATAAGGAAGACAAAGAAGATACATGTCGGTTCAAAAAAGCAGCCCCTTTACTCCTAAGAAAGTGCTTGAATGGAAATAAGTGAGGACAACACTCAAATTTAGCTGGCATCAGTCAAGCTCCAAATGCAGATTATTTGAGTGGGTACCTAAAGCACCTGAACCTTAACTTCTCAGTCATGAGAAAAATTTCCTATTACATGTAAAATTTTGAAACAGATAAACAAATGAAAGTACAAGTGCACACAAACACAAACGTATGTGCGTGCACACACATGTATATGTATATATATATGTGTGCATATATGTGCCTGTTTATATATGTATGTGTATACAGATAAGAACATAAAAACTGTCCTGTTTCACACAATATTTGGTTTCTCAAACAAGCATATATCCTAAATTTTATGAGTAATAAGTTTGGAAAACCTGAATTTAACAAAATTCAGCCAGAAAATATTTACTGAACACCTATTATGTGCCAAATATTATTCCAAGATCATCAGATTCTAGTTCTTGTTTCTTATTAAGCTTACATTATAGCAAGTGATATAACATTTTTTTAAAAAGGCATGTATAAAGAATTCAATTAAGGTGATGTGATAAAGTGGCTGAGTAGTTCCTTCATATTGGGTAATCAGGGAAGACATGATTTGGAATTTGCAATAAGCAGTGTGGCCCTCCAAAGTTGCCTATGCTCTAATCCCTAGAACCTGTATGTTTTGTTATATGGCAATGGAACTTTGCAGATGTAATTAAGGTTACAGACCTTGAAATAGGGAGGTTATCCAGGTGGGTCTGAACTAATTGTGTGAGTCCTCAAAGCAGAGAATTTTTTCTGCCTGGAGGCAAAAGTAATGTAGCAGGAAACATCAGAGGGAAGAAGGCAAGCACATTTCATTCAGGGTTTGGTAAACTGAGGTGAGCAGTTAGATTTCTTTAAGATAGATTCTCTCATTTTTTATAAGGATATACCAAGAATCACCACAAACAAGCTATGTTGTGTAGTATTTCTGAAACATATTTTTTCAGAACAACCTGCAGAATGAGTATTGTGTAGAACAGGCCCTAGGAAATGGTCATCCAGACAAATTATGATCCATATATGTGAAGGGGAAAGAAGAACTGGTTGAAGAAAAATAGACCAGCTGCCAAATTTAGTGCTAACTTCCAATAACTTTCTGAGTGGATTTGATTTGCTTCATCTGTAAACTGAAGTAACTGAGCTAAACTAAGTGCTATTTATCTTGCAAACTCTAGATTTTCTTAAAGAAGCCTATGCTGCTTATAATACACTGGTACAGAAATACACTAAACAAGAAAATTGGTAAACAAGAACAACAGTGATTATATTTTGAAAGTAATCTGATTGAAATTATTCAGGAGAGATAGGCCAAGATAGTGGACTAGGAAGACCCTGAGCTCACATCCTCTCACAAACACACCAAAATCGCAATTATCTGCAGAAAAACCATCAGTAAGAAGACCAGAACCTACCAAAAAAGATCTTCTACAACTAAAGACAAAGAACGAACAAAAACAAGATGGGTAGGAGGGGCAGACTTGTGATATAGTCAAGTACCATACATCCCCAGATGGGCGACCCACAAACTGGAGAGTAATTACATTGCAGAGGTTCTCCTACAGGAGTCAGACTTCTAAGCCCCACGTCACGCTCCTTAGCCCAGGGGTCCTGCACCAGGAAGACAAGGCCCCAGAGAATTTGGCTTTGAAGTCCAGTGAGGTTTAATCTTGGGAGTCCCACAGGACTTGGGGAAATAAAGACTTCATTCTTAAAGGGCATAGAAAAATCTCACACACTCTGGGACCCAGAGCAAAAGAGTTATTTGATAGGAGCATGGGCCAGACCTACCTGTCTTAGAAAGATCCCCAGAGAGGCAGGGGGTGCCTGAAGCTTACCCTGGGGACATAAGCACTGGTGGGATCCATTCTTGAGAGGTCCTTCTACTATGTAAATGTTTGTGTTGGTGAGTGCCATTGTAGAATCCTTCCTCCAGGCCATTAGCATGAAGACCTGGTCCCACCCAACAGTCTCTAGGTGCCAGTGCTGGAATGACTCAGGCCAAGCAATTAACTGGGAGGGGACACAGCCCCACCCATCAGCAGACAGACTGCCTAAAGATCTCCTGAGTCCACAGAAGCTTCTGGACATGGCCCTGCCCACCAGAGGGTCCAGGACCCAGATCCACCCACCAGTGGGCAGGCGCCAGCCTCAGAGTCCTCTGGGCCCAGCACTGCACTCAGAAAGTTTTATCTAGCCTCTGGACCAGCTTCACCTACCAGGGGGCAGAGACCACATGCAATAAAACCACAAT